AGAAGCAAAAGGAAAGGGAGACTAATCAGCGATTATTGGCACAGATTTATAAATACAAACTTAAAGACAATGCATTGAAAGGACGTCTGACGTGGAAAATAACTCAAAGCTGTCTTAATTAAGCGCTGTTTTAATTATTATCATATAATTTATTGACATAACATTATCTTTTAATCGCATTATATTTTAATCTCATTTTATATATTCGTTTCATTAATAAATAAGAGATCAAATGATTTACAAAATGAATGATAATTTATTGTCATTTAATAACAGATATACAGGACTATTATAAATGAGATACAAATTTTTTACAAAATTATCGGATAATCATTTCAGTATAATATATATTAATTAGTTACAAGTTATCGATATTTAATCATTTTCATTATAAGTTAAATATATTTTACATGTAATTATTGTTTGCGTTTAATAAGTGTCTGTCCCTCGCCTTTAAACGCTTCAAAATCTGTCGTTTAGTTATCGATATTTAATCATTTTCATTATAAGTTAAATATATTTTACATGTAATTATTGTTTGCGTTTAATAAGTGTCTGTCCCTCGCCTTTAAACGCTTCAAAATCTGTCGTTTTGCTGGCATTGGTGTCATCTGTCGCTGGAATTGGTTTCGCAGTTCTGATGAACCGAAGACTTCCCATTAGGTAGTCATAATCAGGTATTCCTCTCTTATATACTTTTTGGGTTGACTTTCCATTGGAGGCCTCATTGGGTGACAACTCTTTAAGCTTTCCGTCCAAACGATTGCCTTTCCCTCCGAAGGCCACAAACGTGTCGACCTCTGACTGCATGTCTTCAACAGCGCCTTCGATGTCGTGATTCTCGAGGTCTTCATCCATACGCCTGGCGTTGGGTCGTTGGGGCTCTTTATAGCCGACGGGCGCCGCGAACTCCACATTCATATCGCACTCAATAATGCTGACGGCGGGACCCGGTTTGGTCTCCAAGACACACAACTCGTACACCTTATCGTTATAGTTGATGGCAACCACATCACCGGTGGTCAGACACGCGAAGTTACGCAACGCGTTCTCCAACACCGCCTTCTGGTTATGGATGTCGAGGAAGTCGGGCGCTTGCGGTTGGAATTTGGAGAACGTGGCCACCGGTAGGGACGCGCTCTCCACCTGAACCATCGCCCCCTCTTCCAGCAACAGGTTTCTCATCATCCAATACGGGAGGTATACCTTCCCCTCGTCCGCCACGAACTCCAGTACTCCCGAGTGAGTGAACCGATTGTGTCCAGTGTTGGTCAGCTTAAAGAGCATCGGATACACGATATTAAGCCGCGTGAGCTGGTCGAGAGCGGACGGCGGCATTATGATCTTGCCGCCCTTCTCCACGTCGAGCCGTTCATTGCCCGGAAGCATACATACACTGTAGCACTTGTACATCGTGTTGAACGACCGGAAGTGCTCGTGAAACAGACCGAAGCTAAACATCTTTATGGGTGGCTATTCTTCGCGGACACAAAAACAAACGGTATTTCAAATGCAATTCAAACAGTGATTGCTCTTCAAAACGATTGTTGCGATTGTTTTGATTCGTACGAAACGCAGAGTCACTCAACGCTCATATGTTTTCGCAATACTCTCGCAAACAGTAATTATGTGAACAAAACATTCATAAATGTTCAATACTTTTGCCCACAAAATGGACCCAAACTTTGCGCACGTTATGTATTGTGTGTCAAGAATTGTGTGAATCACAGCATTAAAGGGACGCTTCTGTTAAGCATTATTATGTGGGACACAGAGAGTGGGGAGGGTTTGCACGACGAGTGTATATCTCTATTGTAATCAATACTAAACCGTTTTAAAAGGCATTCATTTGTCGACCGAAACTCTTTATACCATTTGTTTGTTCACTCGTTTTAATCGTAACTAAAAAAGAGAGAAAACGATTCACACATCGATTGATAATTTATATGCGATATAAGCGTCAGTTTCAGTGCTTTTATAAGTAAGAAAAAAAGTGTCACAGAATTTACGAACAGTTGAGTCGATAGAGAATAAGTATTGAGCGAAGAATTTGGTCGAAAGAGTCGGACAAACGAATGGATTGAGTGATCGATTGAGCGGTGAATCCGGGGTTCATATGAGGACTGAATTGCGCGGCGAAGAGGAGTGAAGTGTGCGATGGGTTGGTCTGTATTGACCACCGCTTTGGCCGTTACGGCTCTCATCGCTCCCGCACTACAGCGTAAGCCAAACAACCATTTCTTACACTTTTCTCTCACTATTTATTGCAATATTTTTATGAAATCATTAATTATTGACACAATTGTGTGAATTGTATGCAATCTTACGCTTATATCCTATGATTTACTCCTTATTTAATGATTTGATTACTGATTTAAGCGCTGATTTTGTAGTGAATCACTACTAGTGATTTATGATTTAATAGATTGAATGCATTCATATTGTATGCATTGACACACCCGTCAAATATAGCCATATATTCTGTATTCAATCATTTAATGCTAATCTCGTTAATCAAACTCAATGTGTATTATATTTCACTAATTATTGCATTTAAAGCAACGAATAATTCAACTATTGATAG